TTTTTCCTTCTCCTGTAAAGTTACCATTTTGGAAATATGAGGTTTTGTTCCGACAACAGCGATATATAAATCAACCAAGAGCTTCTCAAGAGGTTAATTAACTGAAGCAGGTGTGGCACATTGTGGTTGGAGCTAGAATTCACAAGGAGGTAGATCTCCAGGAACAGGGTTGGTGGCCACTGCCCAGGCCCGTTTCCTTCACAGATTTTTTCACAGTGTTTGATGTTTCTATTACGTATGACAATTTCAGTAAATAATTAATTATTATTGTTATTATTTTTGTAGGAAAAACCTATACTATACCTTTAGAAAGACACACTGTAAAAACGCACGCAGCTTAAAAAGTTACAGAGTTAACTTAAAATTTGAGTTCATTGAATTTGTAATTTTAAGTAAACGGTGATAATTTGTGTTTCACATTTGTTAACCTATTATTTGAAATGCAGTGACCTCGATATTTCAAACTGCCCAGTGCATATCATATATATATATATATATATATATAATATATATATATATATATATATACAGTATATATATATTTTAAATTACATATAAATACAGTGTGTGTGTGTATATATATATGTATATATATACACACACACTGTATACATATATATACATAGAGAGAGAGAGAGCGAGAGAGAGAGAGAGAGAGAGAGAGAGAGAGAGAGAGAGAGAGAGAGCGTGTGCACGTTTGTCTGAGCCTCGTTTGTGGGCCAATCGCGACCTCTGCTGGTCAAAACACGCACAACCCGTCTTTTATAGAGTCTCCCGCCGAGCCCCGCCCCTTTATCCAGACAAACCAATCAGAGCTCAAGCACCTGACCAATAAACGCGCTTCTGGCGCTCCTACAGCGAAGCCTTCTGACGTCAGACCGAAGCGTTTGCCTGTCCAAAAATATTAGACTCAAAGGAAAATCAAACCACTCGCGGCTCTTTTCTCGTGAAGTTTCAGCCCAGTAGAGTTTATATTTAAGTGCAGGCTGAGATGTAGTTCGTATTTCTTTTAAACGGCCGGTAATGTTTGCCTCTTCGAGTTTGAGCGCAACCTGTTAGGACCCCAACATGGGAGCCGCAGGAGAGGCGGCTGGGGTTTGAAGGTGAGCTGTTATGTCACGGTTATTTCAGAGTTTATCAGGGTTTGGGATTAAAATCGGGGCCGTGTAGCCACAGCTTTAGCTTTCCGATCAGGTGGGGAATCTTTAGCCTCGAGCTGTAGTGATGATACGAAGCTGAAGGCAGCTTCTGGTTCAAAACTCCCCGTTCCACCTTAAATGGTGCCCCAGTTATGTTCTATTTAAGGTGGAACGGGGAAATCTGAGCAAGAAGCTGGCGAATAGGAGCCTTGTGATGATAATAATATACGATATACGTGACTTTGTCTACGTGCTTTAAAAGATGGGGTGCTTTAGTAAACTACAGGTTCTGTTCAGAACCATGAGTTCTTTATAGAACCCTTTGATGTTTAAATGGTTCTTTGCGTGGTGAAGTGGTTCTTCAGACAGATGGAGAATGTGTTGTGTTTTTGAAAATGGTTCTATAAAGCACCAAAAGGGGTTCTGCTATAGTTGTCAAGTTTGTAGCTTGTGACAATAGATCAATGTATCAGCAGAACAATGTTTTGGTACTAGATAGACCATTTTCCTATAAGGACTTTGATTCGACCCTCACAGACGTGAGCTGACCAGGTCAGCAGATGGCTAACAGGCTACTTCAGTCACACTCAGAGACAGGGTTTAAGTTTAGGTTTATGCTGAAGGATACAAAACAGTGAACCTGAAGGGCTGAAATCGCTGCTGTCAGAACAAAACCTCAATCTCCATTTTGTCGTTTTTCAGTTTTTGACATAATTTGAAAATGCCTGTTCATACATTGTTTGTAAATTTCATGACGAATGGACCGAAAGAAATGACCCAAATTACTTGGAAAAAATTCTGGTTCCATTGACTTACATTAAAAGTAAAGTAGGTTTTTTCCACCTCCTGTAAAGTTTTTTTTTTTTTTTTTAGAGATACGAGGTTTTGTTCCGACAGCAGTGAAATGGCTGTGTTTGAGGTTACGAGTTTGGAATAAATGCCATAAAATATGAATATACAACACTAGCTTGGAGCTAACCTAAGGAATCCCATCAGAGTGCTAAGGGAAATCTGGCAAAGTAGGCTGTGTACAAAGTGATTCCTACATAAAAATGAGAAGATGCACTACTGTTACATGGCAGTAATTTTAATTATCTGGTTTTCAGTGTAAAAAGAAGTGAAAGGGCAAAGAAATACATATTTCAGAATTAACTGTATGTATTTATTTATTTATATGACTGGCATTATTGTATGATTTATGTTTATGTATTCATATTTAAGCAGCAAAGCATGATTTCAACAAGGAGGCATTGAAACAAACAAACAAACAAACAAACGTAAGAGGTAAAGGTACGCTAATGCCTGTAGTATTACTGGGTTCATTTTCATAAAGTCTCTTGTCATTCAAGTGTCTTTGAGTGGAACACCAATGGATAGCAGGTTCCATGCAGTGAACTCAACTGAATAGATGTAGCCTCCTAATTCCTAATTCCTCATATCGAAAAAGAAGAGCAAGGTGAAAGAAGGAGAACGTATTGCTAACGTTTTTGCGTTTGTTTTGTGTCCTCTAGTTTCCGCAGCCATGAGCCAACTTCAACGCTTCTGGCATAATTATAAAGTTTTGATTGTTATGGGTTCAGGCCTTGGCTTCATTCACTGGGGCTGGTACAACATCAAATCCAATCCGCTGCTGCGCCAGAACCGAGACAGTTATATCCCTGAACCCGGCATCGTATCGCACGTCGCTCCTGCCCCGCCTGCCCTGCCTCCTCTCCCAGAACGGCCGTCTAAGAAGAAGGAAGCAAAGGCGAAAGAGTAACGAGGTAAGGCCTGTATGTTTTCTCTATGAAGTGTCACCTAATATATCTGAGGGAATCTGTTTTCACCCTTTGTGTTTGCCTCTGTTATCCAATCAGCCAGACTTATGTGGTGTAATTCACCTCAGGATAGAATCAAAGAAGGTCTTTCAGGGTGGTTTGATGTTGAAATACTCCATTCCAGAGAAACTTACCAACCCAGATTTCTTTACAGTGGTGGTGATAGAAACCAGGAGTTGCGATATCTACAGTGCAAATATAGCCATTTTTATTTACTATCCAAAACCACAACGAACCTACAGTGGAATAAATATGGTTTTGTAATTTCACCCTTAAAAAATGGGCTTCATGTGGTAAAATGTAAATTAACTAGTCTAATTAAACCTAAATAAATACTTTGAATGAGCCATTTTTAATCAAAGTGTACACGTGTCATCTGAGTTTTTATGCAATGTTGATAAAGGTAAAGTAGTGATAAATCTGCAGGTTTGCTTTGGGGACTACTTTGCTGTGTAGTGCCCTGCAGGTACCTCTACGCCATGAATGAGTTAAAAAAATACACTTCAGGCCCACAGCTTGTGGAAGATTTATCATGCCAGCTTCACAGAGGTGAGTTTGGCCTTCTGCAGAGTTTAACCTCTTTAACTACAGGCTAAATATTCCGGTATTCAGACCTATTGTTTAGAAACTAATATAAATTATTCAACAGCTACCATGAATTATTTAGTCACTAGTATGAATTATTTAAGATATTTCTTAAAAATTATTCAGTAACTACTACACGTTTTTCAATGGCTACCATGTGTCATTCAGTAATTACTATAGATTATTCAGTAGGTACTATAAATGATTCAGTAACTACTCGAAATAATTCAGTAACTACAATGAAATATTCAGTAATTACTATGTACTATTCAGTAACTTCTATAAATATAAATATTTATAAACTGCTACGAAGTTTTCAGTAACTACTATAAAGTATTCAGGAATTACTGTGAATTATTCAGTGATTACCATAAATTATTCAGTAGCTACCATGAATTATTCAGTAACTGCTATGAATTCAGTTAGCTACAATAAAGTATCCTGTAGTGAGAGTGAAGCATTGATGTTTAGGAAATCATTCAGCCCTTTAGAGTTTTAAAGCTCCTCAGAGATTTAGTACAGTGTCAGTGTCTTCAGGAGGCTGGTTGAGCTGAACTGTGCTGGAGGGACATTCAGGAGTCGATTAGCTGAAGTGCCTCTCTGCTCTGAAGAGCTTTTCCAGGCTTATGTAATGACTCCTCTAACACTGATTGAGTGCTCTTTGCAGCCGTCTGCAGTTTTAGTATTGTAAAAGCCAGTATCACAGTGCTGAATGACAAACAGTACAGTTTGATGCAAAAGTCTGGGCGCCCCTTGGTCAAATTACCCGTTATGTTGATTTGTTTTGTGAAAACAAGTCATCAGTTCCTCTACTGAGAACACACATTTGCCCATTTTAATGCAGAATTACTGTTTATTAGCTGAATTTAAGACACTGTGGGGAAAAAAAAACATAAAATGTGGTCTGTGCAAAAGTTATGGCACATTATGTTATTTTTTTCCAGCGTTCAGACTTCTTCATATGACTGCATATTTCGTCCGCCCCTGTAACCATAGCTAGTTTTCCCAAAACAAATACCAGACAGCGGATACTCCAGTTTTCTGAATCTGTTCTTTTTTTCTTTCTGCAGCTGCTCGTGAATACACTGTTCAGCGAGCGAGCCAATATTGAGCGAGTATGAAGGGCCAAAGCTGGCTGAGGAGGAACTGGCTCTGGGCCGCCGGCGGAGCCTTCCTCAGCCTTCATTTAGCGACGTGGATCATGCAGAAGGCCATGAAGCAGTCCGTACGCACCGAACTGCAGATTAAACAGAAAGGAGAGACCGAAGAGTAGCTCCAACCTACCTGGCTGCAGTGGCTTTTATCGTTTGATGGTGTTGCTGATTTTTCTTTTTTGTCAGTTAAATTAATGTGGGTGGTAGAAAGGTTTCTATTTTGTACAAAACACTGTAAATCGCTGTAATGTGATTATTTACATCCTGGATAGACAATAAAATATGAAATCACTTGTAATGTTTACATGATTTATTTTGAAAAACAAGCATTCCATTAATAAAAAAACAAGCTGCAGTGTGTACAGCTGGAATATAAATTTAGTGTCGCCCCCTAGTGGTGACAAATAACAGTGCAGATATCAGTCTTTTCTTGTAGTTCAGTGGTTTCCAAACCTGGTCCTGGAGAACGGCTGACCTGCACAGTTTGGTCTTTTCCCTGCTCCCAGCATGCCAGAGAACAAGCCCATCCTGAGTTGAAGTGCGTATACAGCAGTGCAGGACCAGGACTGGGAACCTGTGCTGTAGTTGATAGTGGGCAAGGCTATAATGGTGGCTCAGGTTGCTTTCAGAAAGGTGTTTCCACCTCTGTGCTCAGCTGCTAGAGTATAAAGGGTATCACCGCCTTCCTCGATTTGGGGTAATCTTCAAACTTCTCAAGGTAGTACCTGTGGAGAAATGGGAGAAGATGTGAGCATCAGCATGGAGCAAAGCACAAATGCCTCAATGCAGTACTACAAACACTGTTTTGCTAAGTTTTTTGCTACTGTTTTTGTGAGTTGAAGTTCAGCTGCAAGCTATGTTAGCTGACATAACAGAATTAGTAGTTAGTGTTCTCCTCTGAGCGTGTTGAGGCATACAGTGACGCAGCATTAGTGGAAGTGAAAATATACAGGAGCTTCATGTAGCATAAGCTAGTCTTCCTCCTAGCTTGGTAGCACTGTGTGATAAAAGAGACCTAGTTAGTGGCTGGAAATGGCCATTAGTGAGGAAAAAAATGGGTAAAAATCAAAAATAGTTTGGTAACATCAGTTTAAAAGGGCATTATTCTCTTTATTAAAAAAGGAAGTTGTCATAGTTCTCTTATTAAGATGTAAACAAAGTCATTCAGAGTGGTTTGATATGAAATGGTTCATTGTGCATGGACTGCTCCACAAAACTATCAAAAAACAAGGTCTTAAACATGCTCATAACCATTTTATGTAATAACCTTCTGTGATGGAGCTTTTAGAGGCACTAAACTCTTCAGACGTCTGGTTCCCATCACCACCACTGTGAACTATTCTGACTCTACATGACTGATCACATCATAACGATTTAATTGTGTAGAAAATTAGAAAATTGGTGCCTCGTCAAGGCAGTAGGTGGTAATTAACTTCGCTGCTCAGTACTACATTATTACAGTACATATCGTCACTGTCCACAGAACAAAACATTCACTTTTGAGCATCACAGCTCTCCTTTACATTGTGTGAAAAATTCATGATGAATCGACCAACAGAAATGCTCCAAAACTGCTTGGAATAAAATATATTAACATTAACTTACATTAGTAAAGAACGTTTTTGGCCTCTCCTGTAAACTCAGCATTTTCCTTTGGACAGCGACAATATACTGTAACTCGGGTGAATTAAGCGTTTTATTGTGCATATAATCCTGTGCACAGCATTAACCGACATGAAGTGATTATGATGGATAATACACAAATGAAAGAGCTCTGGAAACGTCAAATTCATCCTTGTCATTGCTTAATTATGTAGTAATGAGCAGCCAGTTAAATCCAGACGCTTGATAAAGTACAGGCATTTTAACCCCCCAATACTGAAGTATAATCAAATGTTCTTTTGTAAATTATACATTTTAAACACTTAGTCCTACATTCCACAGTCCCTCTCACATGGGTATTTACCCCCCATTGCCCTCATAACTCATGTTGTAGATCCTAGACAAGATACATTGACTGTTTAGTTGTGAGGGGAACTCACAGCTTGGTGATGTTCCTACTCAAATAGGCCTGATTCAGCAGCTAATTAGCAGTTCTAATTGTTTTGTTTGAGCAGAGAAATGACCAAATTGTGGAGCTCCAAGAAAGGAGATGGGTAACTGTGGTGTACACCAACGGAGGTGCAGATGTGCTTGAAATCTAGGTTTGCTAACTTCATCTGAAAGCAATAAAATGTCATTGAATTTTTAAATAACATGTTTTGTTGAATTTCTAAGTGAAATTAAAACATAAATTACAGAATTTTCCATAATTTTTACACGTCACTTTTTATGCCACTTAATTTTTTTTCCAATATTCTAAATTCAGCAAATAAACAGTGCACTAAAGTATGCAGAAGTGTGTTCTCTGTAGTGGATGCGCTTAGACAATCAACAAAACACTATGTAGACAAACACAACTGGTCTAACTGGCACAACAGGTTCAACACCCTGAACTGAAATATATGCTGGTTTTCTTGTCCAAAACAATTCTGAGCCCAGATCTGGCCAGCACACTGTAAAGTATGTAGAACTAATGGATGTGGCCCAAATCTGGCCCAACTACATTGTTGATCCACAACATTCTCGCCAGAATTGGTCCACAAATACAGACGCCAGGCAAAACCATATGAAGTTGTCCAGGATCTGACTATATTCTGGCCCACATGTCTAACATCAGCCTGGTCGTTAACCAGCACTTGCGTAAGAAAACCAGAATCGGCCCAGAACTGTCTGCTCTCTGGGACGTCACTGCTAGGAAGCCAAATATCTTATTACAGCTAAATAATTATAGTAACTCTCTTCAAATCATTATTAGTATTGATAGAATGGATTAATCAAACGACTGAAACGTCTCGTCACATGAGGAGGACAACATGCTAAGAGCTAAAGTTAGCTGTCTTAACGATATACCTCAATTCAGCTTCTGTTCTCTGTCTGAAAGGCTAAAAAACTTGTCTGGAGCTTTTTTCCTGCTTAACAACGATAGAACCACTATTTTCTTTAAGATTTTGTTTGGTGACTGAGGTCAGTTACACTAATGCTAGCTTGGTTGTATTTATTAGCCTATAGCTCAATGGCCTGGCTAGCAATCAGTACTGGTTGACACCACAGGGATCCCAATGGCTTAGTTGTGTTTACGTAATGCATGCTGGGTATTGTAGTGTTGTGAGAGGACAGTGATGAAAACATGAAAAGTCTATATAAATATAAAAACATGAATTCTGTTAAACGTTTGAGGCTGTGGATACAATTCTGCACTACAGAATAACATATTAGAATAATACAACGTATTAAACTCGAGTTTTATGCCAGAATCCAGTAGAAATCTCCCTGCTGGACTGCCGTGATTTTTGACTTTAGCTAACTGATAAATCCTGCTTTATGAAATAACCCTATCGTCTGTTGTTCTAGTACCTGTGGTGGTGGTAGGCTCTGGGTCCTATGGAGCACATGGTGAAGAAAGCGAAGGTGAAAGCAGGCAGAGACCATGAGGCCATAGCGTAGCCACACCACTCCAAAATCTCCCCGAAGAAATTGGCACCAGACACCAACTCAAACATCCCCCCTGAGAAACACACACAAATATTACATATCATTTATGATCTAGTTGAGTGACTTTTTTATACTATATACACTCAGGTCCTTAATTATTTAGACATTGACAAAGTTATTGTTATTTCATGGTGTAGCTGAATCTGAGCAGATAAAACTATGCATTTAATGTAGGTCCTATACAATAAATACAAAGAAACCAGTTCCACCGGCAGCCATACATGCCCACAGTATTACCATGACACTACGGCACTACCTCCACCATGCTTGACAGATGAGGTGGAATGCTTTGGATCATTAACAGTTCTTTCCCTTCTCCATATCTTCTCTTCACATGATTTGGGATGCTCTTTGTCTTATCTGTCTGTAAGATGTTCCAGAGCTGTACAGGCTGTACATGGTTTTTTGCCAACTCTAATCTGGTTTTCCTGTTTTTGAGGCAGTGGTTTACATCTTGTGGTTAAACCCTCTGTCTTCTCTTGATTGTTGACACAGACATGCCTGCCTTTCTGGAGGGTGTTCTTGATCTGGCCCACTGTTGTGAACGGGTTTTCCCCTATTAGTGTAAGAGTTCTTCTGTCATCCACCACAGTTGTTTTCTGCGTTCTTCCTGGCTTCTGTTGTTTCTGAGTTCACCAGTGCATTATTTCCTTTTAAAAATGTACCAAATGCAAACGCAAATCAACTTGAAATCAACCCTGGACCTTTTATCTGCTTAACTGTAGATGAAATAATGAGGGAATAAAACACACTTGGCTGTGGAACAGCTGAGCAGCATCATAATAACCACATATTTATGGGCCTGATTGTATAACTTCTACTTTCTACTGTATAACTTCTACTTTCTACTGCTTGCTTTGCTCCTGTAATTGTATTTTGAAGTGTTTTAGTAACAAAAACAGTGTAATATTGTAAACCATAATTTTGAAAACCTAATTTCCTTACATATTCTTTTTTTTACTGTTTTACTTTGTGTCTTGTTTTGTCGTTTTAGCCCTGGGCTCACCACAAACATTGCACTTTTGCCTTAAGACAAAAACTTTAGGCACCCCTGCCACTGACCCTTCTTTTTAGGTCTTTTTAGGTGGACTATAGTGTGTTTAGCTTACATGGACGTTATGCTATGCCTTCTATAACTAAAATGAAACCAGTCTACCAGTGTTAGTGATAACACCGGAGTTTAAGAGCCATTTCAAATGAGCCTGTCAAATCAAGCGGTCTCATGATCTCGAAAGGTTTGATGCTTTTACCAGATGCTAATCATATAAGGCTAATTATTGCTTAGGGAATAAAACATTCAACAAAATTAGAGTGTATATAATAAAACGTAAAAAAAAACTCATAAATGTATTTGTTTACCAATGTATTCTTTAAGTGTATATGGTTTTCAAAGTATTAATATGTTATAATTTTAGGTATTATAGTATGAATTTAAATACCAGATATAGTATATATCTTCATGAATATTACTGCTGCACTGAAACCACAAAATCACCAGGAAGTTTCTGCTTCCTGTGTACACAGCATGATGTCTGCGCGGTTGTAAACAGGAAAGATAGTTTAGGTTCCATCAGAAATGATGACAGAGGACTGTGCTTCTCCTCTGTTCCCTAATGAAGAGAATTCTTGAGGATTAAAGCTGCTTAAAGTTGTGAAACCTGGAATGTATGATAGTCTGTTCTTCCTGACCCTGATTTCCTTTTAAAGGACAGATAGAAGAGTGATGTTGGATGTGTCCGTTACCTTTAGGGATTTTGTAGACGACCTCTCCAGGCTTTCTGAGGTTCCGCAGAATGTGGTCACTGTGGATGTTGATGGCCATTCCTGAAAAAAACAGCAACAGACCTGCAGACAGATTCCACATTATTAGTACAGCCAGTTTATTTAGAGGAATATATGGGAATTTATTTATGGGAGTTGTAATTTTATTAAGTGCTCCAACCTTGTAGCTTCACTCATTGGCCATTTTATCAGAAACACCCACTATAGTACTGTGCAAAGGTCAGAGGTGGCCATTCATTTGTTTAATTTCCAGTTGAAAGGCCATGAAGTAAAAACAGAAAGCAAATATTTAACAGCAACCAATTATAACATCAAATATTTCTGTATTTATTGTGTCTATTTTTTACCCATTCTTTTCAGGAGACTCACTTTCAGTGTTTCAGAGAAATCTGCAGGGATGTTTTTCACACCTCCAAAGTTCAGTCTTAGAAGTTGGTTTAACATTTTCTGCTTCTCACGATCCAAATAATCCCAAACACATTCAGTGATGTTGAGGTCTGGACCCTGGGGTGGTCAGTCCATTGTTCTGAGAAACACCAGCAGCTTCTTTGTTTGATGTGTCTCCTTTTCTCAGTAAGAGCTTCTTAACAGCTACACATCCTTTCAGACTCATAGTGCTGAGTGTCTCACAGTGGAAGGATGGACAGGAACTCCTGAGGATGTTTTCAGATCTGAATCCAGAATGGAGCTGATTTTCTCCTCTCTCTCAGAGATGAAAGCTTTAAGTGCTGTTTATCTGATGGGGATAGTTTTGGTGTCCACCAGGTCTTCCAGGTGGTTGTTAGGAGTCTCATTTCTGATGGACGACTGAATAAAAAACGAATAACTTGTACTTAAAGACCATTTTGACTGGAAATAAATGAAGGGTGGTCTCTGACCTTTGCACAGTACTGTAGATGCAGTTGTAGGTTTACAGTAACTGGGTGTAGCCCATCTGCTGCTGCATGATTTATCAGCCATAGGACTGCCTAAATATTGTTGGGTGGTGGTCCATTCTTAGCTGTGATAACAGACACAGCAGTAATTCTGGAGTTTTTACATGCGTGTGTCACTGCTAGGTAGAACAGCTCTGTGGTCAGAATTAAATTGATGACTAACACAAAGTGCATCAACAGATGAGCCACAGTCTGTGAATGTACATCAGCAGGGTGGAGGGGTTACTATTAAGTAGCCAGTGAGTATAAACAGTGTGTAAGGACCCCAGCAACACTGCTGCGCCTGATCATGTCACGCATCCGCCGAGTGCCTTGTTGGATTCGGACTCGATCTCCCAGAGTCCTCTGGGAGATCACCTGACTTCCCCACAGCCAACCAATGAAGATAGACAGCCGGACTCAAACTCCCAGAACACTCAGGAAGGTCACATGACTCCCCACCTGACCCCAAACTCATATCCGTGTTCACAATCTCCGGAATACTAATCAATGTCACCTGTGTTTGATCATATGACTACTTAGTGTAGTATTTAAGCCCAGGCTTTAGACTAGGTCAGTTGCGAAGTATTGTATCGGTCTTTTGTGATCTACTGAGCGTTTATTTCTAAATCTGATTATCGTGTATGACCTTTGCCTTGTTTTTTGACTTTGTCTTTTGCCCTGCCCTTTGGATTGTTTACCTGATTCTGGATTTTGGACTTAGACCCTCTGCTTGTGTTTTTGACCACGTTTTTGCCTTCTCCTGTTCGGACTGTTCGCCTGGTGTATGTTTGTTTTGTGTTTTGTCGGCTTTCTGGAATTGATCCCTGCCTGTTTCTTGACCACGAAAGTGTACTGCGCTTTTTCTAGTAAAGCCTCCTTTGCAGTTTTTATCTGCGAGCGTCTGATCCTGTTTGACTCGTCACAGCTCAATTACATTTTTAGCTAAACCACATTAGATATACATGTTTATAGTGTTTAATTGGTCTCAAAGGGGAATTCCACTGATATTTTAAAAGCATCACTGAGATGTAAATAGTTATTCATAGTGCTTTGATATGAAATACTCCATTCTAGAGAAACAGAATGAGTCAGAATTGCTCACAGTGGTGGTGATAGACAAAAGATATCTGAGGAGTTTGAGGCCTCTAAAAGCTCCCACATGGAAAATTATTACACAGTTAAAATTGATTTACGATAGTTTTGAGAGTAGTTCTAAATAGTGCAGAGGAACAAGGGCGGCCTTGTTATGCAAAACAGTCTCCAAAGGAATAGTATTTTTTCAGATTTACCACATTTTAACATCATCAACATCATATATAAACACTATGAAGACACATGTAGGTTCTCTGGTGGTTTTGGATAGTAAATGAAATGGCTATATTTGTATCACAACCACTCTAAACGCTTTAAACAACTTTCACTTGGTAAGTTTCTCTAGAACAGAGCAGTTCACATCAAACCAACAACCTCACCAGCAAAGGTCAAACCTTCCCTTCAGCTGTAGCCAGGGCCCCAATAAACTGTGGCTTTAGGAAACCATTGTGTGGCTTTATGTATCATCAGCTCTCTATGTGTCTCTGAATTCTGCATCAGCTCACCCCAGAGGGTAAATCTCACCTGCTATAAATCGTATATCCGTCAGCCAGTCCGCTTCATACTGTACACAGTGCAGCATGTTATGGCCCTGCAGGAAACCATTTATGGAGCAAAACACCACGGCCGACACCACGATGTGGAGAGGAGAAGGCCGTCCTTTGGTCAGCAAGGCATAGATAAACGTCCTGGAGGAAGAGAAGAATAACAAAACAAGGACACGTAGTGTCACTGAGGCAAAGCATTGCTCTAATGAAGCATCAAAATATTCAATTGTTACCCAAGTGCTAAAGGCGCCCCCTTGTGGAGAATCTTTAATCTGCTAAACATGAGTGAGTATGTTATGAGCTAGGTCCATGAAGTGCTTTGGATCTAGAACAGGCGTTGGCAACCCAAATGTTAAGAAGAGCCATTTTGTCCTTTCACCAAAAATAAAACCACCATTTTATATCCATTTTACCACCTTGGCTGTAAATGTGCCTCAGTATGTGCTGATGTACAAGTATAGGCTAAAAATATAATACTGAGCACAGCTATAGTCGTTTTTCTCGCATCTCCAGCAGGAAACTTTTCTAAAAGTGGAATAAATTCTTGTAAAATGTCTCTCAACATTACATTTTTACGAGGCTGAAGTCGTTTCTCATTCGCCAGCTTCTTGTTTGACTTCTTAGTGTTTGACAGTTTCTCACTGCAGACTAAACGTATCAGTGCTTAAACGCAAAACAGTCCGTTCATCTAATTATCAGTGTTCAATGTTCATCTGTCTCTGTGCCTTTTCTTTAGCTACTAACTAGGTGAGATTGTTCTCTGTGTTGCTATGGTGACCAGCAGTCTGCACGCCAACCTTCAGGGGTAAAGGATGAATTAGCAGTTCTACATTAACTCCAGTGTTAACTCCAGACCATTTATTGTTCAACTGTGTTGATCGATCAGCAGAGCTTTATTTTACTGCAGAGGAGGATTATTTTATGTTTACCTACAAATCTAATTCTGCTGTGGAGCCGCAACAGGACAGTAAAAGAGCTGCATGAGATCAGCTTTATAATATTAGTAATCGAGGGCTAATAAAGCATTTTGACGGCCGAGCAAGTGAACGCCCCTGGCCAAATTATAAATGACAAATTACATACACCCCAGCTTTGGACATGCTTTGTTTATTTCCTAGCTGAAAATAAGTGAACACATCCTTTACAGTGACCACACTGCTGCTCATTTTAATGCACAATTTTATTTTATTTTATTTTATATTATTTATTTAAACATACTGGAAAACAATATATAACATAAAGTGTGTTAAAAAAAAGCAAATAAATAGAATTTTGCATTAAATTTGCAGAACAATTTAAGTCATATGCACAAGTTTAGGTGCCCCTGCAAGTTTTTCTTGGGGCACCTAAACTTGTGCATATGACTTTATACACGGTATGTGGCAGAAATGCATGTAAATGGCATATAAGGGTCCATCGGGCTCTGTTTCTAACACTGTGCAGCACGAGAATTCTGCATTATCCTCATGCAAACCGGAAACTATTCATTGCTGATTCATTAAGAAGCTCAATTATTTTATCCATCAAATCTGCTTGTAATAAAAATCCCATCCATCAACCTCACAGCAGTACGCTGTATTACAGCATAGAGGCAGCTGGCACTGCTCTGGTTATGAGAAAGGGGCTTGCTATGCAAAGCTGCCCTCCACCTCCAAATGAAACGGACATTTACTGTTGTTGTTTATGTTATCGTACATGTTATTCGGTGCTAGGCTGTTCGGGCAGTTATTGGGGTTTTGTGCAAACCACAAAGTGAAGGTGTGTGATCAGAAATGACCTCCCTGCTACGCCCCTCTGTGTTCCGTGTGCCTTTTCTGCTGCTGTGCTGGAATGCATTCCTAAATCGCTGATCAAGCTAGTTTGTTTATCACCCAATCAGGTGGAAATGGGCCATACCACATTTTCCTCATGCCAGTCTCATGTGGCAGCAGACATCGGTCTGCATTGGTACGTCTTCCAAACATGTCATTTCGTGTCCCCACAACTTGTTTTTCACATCTGGATCCTTTCCTTACTATAAATGTGAATGTTCTCCAGCTCTGAGCCATTGTGAGCCTTTCCCTTTTGTTATTACTGGCACGGCTGCAGAGTCCCATATGAACCACAAACGTGAGACGCGTTGCGTAACATCCTCCTGTGTGTGTTGAAGCAGCACAGGATCAGGGCTGGCTCTTGCCTTTTGGAAGCGCTAAGCAGGATTTTTCCCACCCCTAATCCCCCAAATCTTGCTGATTTACTGTGAAATCACCAATATTAATGACTACCACTGTCTAAACTGTCTAGATTATGTACATTTCTAACTGGCTAGCTTGTGTATTGCTGATGATTGCATGAGTTCTAATGAGTCACAGTTTAAATTACAGATAATCTCAGCGTTCTCGTTCCAGGGGTCTGCAGTATTGCTCTCTTATCCTGCTAACTTTAAGCTTAGTTGGATCTAACTCTGATCTATCTGTTATAAATGTTTTACTCAGTACATATTCAGACATATTCAGGTGCTATGATTTCTTTTATTCTCCTCATGTTTTATGCAGTTGGCTGTTCGTTATAAGCATCACACTTTCATGGAAGGCCATGCAGAGACCCTTAAAAGAGCAGGCGCTCAAAGTTAAAATGGGGCAAAATGGACCGAAATGCTAAAACACCAGCTGCAGCATAACAAATGAACTAAGCAAATAAATAGAATTTTGTATTAAAATTTGCAGAACAATTTAAGTCATATGCACAAGTTTAGGTGTCCCTGCAAGTTTTTCTAGGGGCACCTAAACTTGTGCATATGACTTTATACACAGTATGTGGCAGAAATGCATGTAAATGGCATATAAGGGTCCATCGGGCTCTGTTTCTAACACTGTGCAGCATTATCCTCATGCAAACTGGAAACAATTCAAACTTGCTGATTGATTAAGAAGCTCAATTATTTTATCAGGTTTTTAATCAAGCAAACGAGTGTGATCAAGATCAAGAAGCACTCGTGGCAGCACTAAACAATGGGGCTGAATCATAAAAGGGCTAAATGTGTGGAGCACATGTTAGAAAGTAGAGTAAAGGATACGTTCTTTTTTCTGGAAATCCTTCAGCCCGTCAGGCTTTTTTGATTTGCACACTTGAATGAAGTAAATTCAGTACATCACTTTTTCAGTACATAGGAAATTCTCTGCATAGGACGAGATGCATTGGACAACATTACATTTAGCACTGCAAAACATTTTGCAACGTAACGTTAGCTGTAGGATGTTAGGATTGCAGCACAGCTACTCTCGTCACTCTGTAACTGAAAAACCCAACTGAAGAAACACCACAGGAACACCTGTCACAGCATATACAACACTGCACCTATACAACTGTCAGAATCTGCACTCAAAGGCCTGCACTGTATAATCCTGCTTTACACAGGTATCATATTGCTCAGTGCACTGTGTTGAGATCATCTTTCACCTTAATGCTTCACCCACAAATCTGTCCTTTAGTAGTTACAGCTGCAGGGGTGGACGAGCTTCACAGAGCATTCGTGAAAACTGAATTCAGCTTATGGAGAAACTGTGATCTTTCACAGTTGCTATGTGAATAAGTTCAAAATGCTGCTCTGTTGCTGTGGCCAATTAAAACTAAATAGGTTGTATCTGTCAACAAAGAATTTGCTGCCAGGCTAAATGTGGCTCCCAGGCTTAGCAACTTCTTGTCCTCTCTTGTTTTCTGGTAAAAGGTTTTTGAATCACTTGTTGTGGTAATAATTTTTGCTATTTGTGCACAATGATAACTTATACAGTGCAGATTTAAACCTAACTGGAGTATTTTATACAATACTTTAGGTACTTTGGGAACAACAAGTAGGTATTAAATGATAATCTACTGTAACTTTTTGTCAAGTTATCTACGTCAAGATGATTTTAAAAAATGTGCAGCTTTTGCAGCGTCTAAATTTACAGCTTGTTTACGACTTTCTAGCTTCCTACTAATTGTTAGAAACCTTTGCATATGTGTGAAATTAAACCAGCACACACTGCTGGACTAATGCATCATCGATAAAACTGATTATATATTGTCAATGTCAGAATAAAACCTTTCTTAACTTATAAGATGTTCAACTTAACTTAAAAAAGTCATTTTGACGGTTTTTATTGGTCTGTTCGTCATGAAATGTTGAAACAATGTAGGCAGTGACTGGCAATGTTAATTTATGTAATTAGGATCATTTCACAAAAACCAGTATCTCCAAAATAGTAACTTTTCAAGAGAGGGCAAAAACACTCTTATTTTTTAATGTAAGTCAATGTAAAGAGGTTTTATTCCAAGTGATTTTGGAGCATTTCTATTTATCCAATCATCGTGAAATTTTCACACAGCATAAAGGAGAGCTGGGGTGTTGAAATGATGCAGAAAAATAAAAATGGACTAAAATGGAGACACATGGTTTTCTTTGGACAACGACGATATTTATCTGCAACCAAATCGGTTTTACATTATTGAAATACATTCTTTCAAACCTTTGGAAGTAGTGCAGAATGAAGGTGCTGAGCAGAAGGCCTCTCCCCAGGCCAGATGAGCTTTCAGTGGTCAGCAGCAGAAGCGTGGGAACCAGAAACGAGGGCAGCTCCTGGATCAGCCAGGCTGCTTTGGCTGGGACCATCACCCCGGAGCTGTGGGGCTCCACGTAGCGGCCATACGGGGTATGTGTGGTCATCTGGCGTAGGAGGTAGAAGAACCCCCCGATGATGAAACCCCAGCTGAGGTAGAGGATCGTCCTTTCCTGGCAAAGCATGGTGCTCCTCAGTGTGCTGGAGTTCAGTGAGCGGCAGGCCGGATCACATTAGTGGCATGAACAAATGACCTGCCTGCTTCTGCTTCCTTTGGAACTTCCCTGTGCTTCTCATTCCTTTTATACCTCTCTCTCTCCCTCTCTCTCTCCCTCTCTCACTCACTCACACTCTTTCCCCTCCTCCTCTAAAAGCTAAACTATCTGCAGCTGATCCCATCAGCATACAATACTCCACAAAAGGAGCCCCAGGAATCCAGAAGGGCGTCAAAAGTAAGATTCAGTTATTATTTGCATTTGGTGACCAATCAATTTTCAGCCAATAACTATGTTTATTGCAATAAAAGCACCTCTTTAAAATAAGTTAATCCCCACGATAACAATCAAATAGATTCGTCTGAACAGCATCGCTGACGGAGGGCCTTTGTTGTGCATAACTGATGAGTTGATGAAGATCAAATTACAGCAGCTGGTTACCAAACAAGACAAGCAGGCTTTGAGCCAGGATCTGGGTCCGGATCTCTAAGCGAAAAGAAAGAGGCACATTAGCAGGAGTCCAAGTGATTTACATCTCTTTAAAAGGAGCCCGGGCTGCCTGAACACCATCTGAGTTTCATTACATTTCTCAAATTCTACTTTTTTTTCAGAATGCACCCACTGATCTCGAGCAGCGCCGCTTCACACTGGGCACAAACTGTTATTCTGTCTTAATTACTCATTAACAAGACATTTATTATCATTATTCCTACTGTACTGCTGGTGGAAAGCTTGAAATGAATGATTTCAATGAAATAAATTCTATTTGAGGATGAAAAAATGAAATGATTCTCATCCTGTGCTGCTTTACAAGTATCAACTGGTTAGTAGGACACAAGGGAGTAAAAGTGAAGAAAGGTTAGATGTGCCCACTATGATGACCAGAGCTGTAGATGATTCCTAAACAGCTGCTTATATCTAGAATTCGTCATACTTTTAAAGTGGTGATCAAATGTCAAGGCAGAAACGTAGACAAAAAAGACTGTAAGCAGAAAATTGAAGTATATCATTTATCATTCTGTTAATTATTGTGTAACCCAGTGCTGGAGCGTATCCCAGGGCTCATTGGGCGGAAGCCAGGACAAGAAATGACAAAGCTCCTGGCGAGGCCTTGACTGTCACATGAAAATCTTAAATTTCTTATATCCAATAGTTTTTTGGGGGTTTGTTATTTTAACAAAGCCTTATTGTTTTAATATATTCTTCAATTTTAATTTAGAAAAGCTTTTTTTTGTTATTAAATGAACATTTATGTAGATAAAACCTAGCTAGAATAATTATCATACATATGGTTTTTCAATGCATCTGTCATATTTAAAATAACCAAACAGAACTTGTGTAAGCTGCTTATCCTTCTGGGTTGCGGGGGCAGCTGGAGCCTACCCCAGCAGTCATTAGGCGGAAGGCAGGACACACCCTGGACAGGTCACCAGTCCATCGTGGGGCAGACAGACAGACATACACAATCACACACACACAATTTAGCATCCCCAGTTGGCCTGACTGCATGTCTTTGGACTGTGGGAGGAAACCCACACAGATATGGAGAGAACAGGCAACATCCGCATGCTCAAAGTAACAAAAGGCCTGTTCAAGCTGAAACTGGACACCCCTGTCAGAAAGCTCTTTGTAGACGGAACCCATGGAGTGGTGCGTGATGTAATTTCACTGAGCTGTTTTCATTTGCATGGTGTTCCTATCAGGTTACAACAGTAATTCCCAAAGCCAAACCTTTATTTTATTTAAACAATAAAATATGTAGAGATGTTCAATGACATCAAATGCCTTGATCAGAGTGGTCAGTATAGTCAGGAACCATTCTAATTGTAGTGTCCTGGTACTGGTTGCACTGCTGTCGAGAGGCTCGGGAGACATGGCCATGCAAAGAGGCTCATGGAAGGTGCCCACCCCCCAAAAAAAGGGACTTTTTGTTGTTAATGTTGCTGTTCTGTTAGTTTGAGATGTGTGTGTGTGTGTGTGTTGTGTGTGTGTGTGTGTACTGTTTGTGTTTTATTGTGTTGTGTCTTGAGTTATTTTGTGTAAGGTGGTGGTCACAGTGAGATGGAAGCCTAAGGCTATTGGTGACCTCCCTCCCAGTTTGGCTGTATGTTATGTGCCTTTCTGCTGGTGTTTCGATAAAAGAGCACTACTTGCAGCAGAAACATGGCCTCTCCTGTGTCTCCTTCCACAATATGAGTTAAAGATATGTCTGTTGCTTATAAATCCAGACTGATTTTCATCAGTAATTCAACTCAGGACCCTTTTAAACCTATTGGAAGATACTATAGCAAACAACTAATAATCACTGTTTAAGCAGACTAATGGGCCTCCAACTGTCAATGAACAGCAAGTCTCTTTCTGCTTTCAGTATTAAACTAACTACACCTTGAGTCATGGCAGCGGGAAGAGCAGACAGTGCAACACTCTGTATAAGCCTGAAAACGAAACAGTGCAAGTGAGTACGAAAAAAAGAAAGTAAATTCATTCATAATCTCATCACTTCCTGGGGATTTATTCCATTTAAGTTGACTTGTGGCGTCTACAATTTCTCATTTCTAATAAAGTGAATCACCAAACATTTTCTCTTATGAACTAACAAATGACCTTATTTAGATTCATAAAAGTGGGAATAAAAGTTGCAGCAAAATTTGTGAATCTCTAAATTGTCAGTAACGTCCTCAATACTCAGTTGAAGAACAGGATTTTGTTTGGCACAGAACTTTCCAAATTTAAGGAAATAAACAAAAATAAATAGACTGTGGGAGGAAACCCACACAAATATGGAGAGAACAGGCAACATCCGCATAGAAAGAACGGAAAGAACTCAGGGGAATGAACCCAGGCCCTTCTTGTTGTGAGGCGACAGCGCTACCCACCGCGCCACCGTGCCGCCCACAGCATGCACTCAAAGTATTTGCCAGATTACTTGAAGAATGTTTCTATCGAACCACTTCTTTAAGAAAGCACTATTGTACAAAATATTGCAGTCATTCCAAATATAATAACAATGAGGGGAGAAATCGTGTTTGTAAATTCGTTTCCATGCCAATAAAGATTGCTTATGGAATTACTGACAACTCAATTGGCAGCTCATCTATCTCATAGTTACGCATTAAGAGAAAAGGAAGGCCTCCCAGCTGATGAAAAACTTGGGGACACTCTTCAACAAAGAGGAGCTATTTTTCAAACATTGCTTCAGCCAGTTAATCTTAAATCTGTGATTTAAAGTAGAGAAGTCCAAAAAACGAGCCCACCATTCTTAAAACATTATAACCCTAGGTTTTCTGGTATAATGTGTCGTTTTTTCTATATAAAATTAAACAGCATCAATGGCTTTAACAGTTCTGTTATCCAAATGCACTGAAATAGCGCCATAGGCAAGCCTGGAAAAGCTTTAGACGAGAAGATGCAGCCTTTCAAAGACAGATCCCTTTGCAACCAAGGGTTGAGTTTACCTTTGGCCTCCTTAATCACAGGATTAGAGTTTAGTCAGACTCTCTCCTGCTGATGTCTAGTTATGACTAGGTCTAGATAATTTAGTTACTCCTTCACAGTATTGCCTTCAACAGAGGTCAGTGATTTTTTAGGGTGAACAGCTCACAGTTTTTCAAGTTGAGCTACGATCCTGAAGCTTTAGAGAACATCTCAGTTATTCTGACAGCTTAATGAACCTGTGAAGCACCTAAATAAGGTGGTATCGTCTGCCAGCTGGATTCAGCCACAGAAACTCCTCCCAGTTCAGTCAACTTGACAAAGTGACAAAAGGCCTGTTCAACAAGAAGACAAAGGTAAGCTGAAACTGGACACCCCTGTCTGAAAGCTCTTTGCAGACGGAACCCATGGAGTGGTGCGTGATGTAATTTCACTGAGCTGTTTTCATTTGCATGGTGTTCCTATCAGGTTACAACAGTAATTCCCAAAGCCAAACCTTTATTTTATTTAAACAATAAAATATGTAGAGATGCTCAATGACATCAAATGCCTTGATCAGAGTGGTCAGTATAGTCAGGAACCATTCTAATTGTAGTGTCCTGCTACTTGTTGCACTGCTGTCGAGAGGCTCGGGAGACTTGACCATGCAAAGAGGCTCATGGAAGGTGCCCACCCCCCAAAAAAAGGGACTTTTTGTTGTTAATGTTGCTGTTCTGTTAGTTTGAGATGTGTGTTTGTGTGTGTGTTTGTGTGTGTGTGTGTGTGTACTGTTTGTGTTTTATTGTGTTGTGTCTTGAGTTATTTTGTGTAAGGTGGTGGTCACAGTGAGATGGAAGCCTAAGGCTATTGGTGACCTCCCTCCCAGTTTGGCTGTATGTTATGTGCCTTTCTGCTGGTGTTTCGATAAAAGAGCACTACTTGCAGCAGAAACATGGCCTCTCCTGTGTCTCCTTCCACAATATGAGTTAAAGATATGTCTGTTGCTTATAAATCCAGACTGATTTTCATCAGTAATTCAACTCAGGACCCTTTTAAACCTATTGGAAGATACTATAGCAAACAACTAATAATCACTGTTTAAGCAGACTAATGGGCCTCCAACTGTCAATGAACAGCAAGTCTTTTTCTGCTTTCAGTATTAAACTAACTACACCTTGAGTCATGGCAGCGGGAAGAGCAGACAGTGCAACACTCTGTATAAGCCTCAAAACGAAACAGTGCAAGTGAGTACGAAAAAAAGAAAGTAAATTCATTCATAATCTCATCACTTCCTGGGGATTTATTCCATTTAAGCTGACTTGTGGCGTCTATAATTTCTCATTTCTAATAAAGTGAATCACCAAACATTTTCTCTTATGAACTAACAAATGACCTTATTTAGATTCATAAAAGTGGGAATAAAAGTTGCAGCAAAATTGGTAAATCTCTAAATTGTCAGTAACGTCCTCAATACTCAGTTGAAGAACAGGATTTTGTTTGGCACGGAACTTTTCAAATTTAAGGAAATAAACAGACGTTTGCTCCCATTGTTCCAGCCAACTTGGCCTAGACCAAACATCTGCTCCCTTTGCTCTGGTTATAGACAAATTACACAGTTTGATTGCCGAGTTAGAAGGAGACGTGATCTTCATAACAATTGTCTCCTCCAGTGAATGCCTTGCTTTAGCCAGAGAGCTGTTTTCTCATGTGAGAAATGGGGAATGGGGTAATTAAGGTCTACTTAATTCATTAACTAATTAATCTGTCTACAGTTTTGTGTGCTATTTATTTATTATTAGTTATTTTGACACGTTTCGTCTGTCATGCCAAGGCACAGAACGTGTAGTTGTAGAAGTACTGCTCAGTAATGTTTTCTGTGTGTTTGAGATGCTAGAGGGCGCTCCTGAGTGAGGCCAAAATGAATGGGCCTGTATGGAGCTTTTGCACAAAATCAGAGGTTGTAAAGGCTTAATCATTTTTTATGGAGAAAAGTGCACTAATTTTCTGGACACAGAACATCATAAAATATTTCAGCACTGTTGTTATGTTTCTGAGTGTTTTTGAGCTCTACTTAAGGACTCAAGCCCTATTTGGACGGGATTATTTTTACATGATGAGGTGGGGTAATGTAAATTATACCAGCGTTTCTTGATGTCAGTCTGTTTTACAGACTGCGCTTCCGCTTCAGTAAAGATTCCGGCGCCTTTTACCTTCCATAAAACAAGCTGTAGGAATGACGTCAGGGTATATTAATCCTGTGCAAATCGATATGTTAATAAGGAGTTTCTTATGTATTAGGCTCAAAGAAGTGTTTACCAGCGTTTGCTCTAGCCAAAATCAAGCCAATAAATGATGTTACTGTCCATGCACACGTCACATGTGCAATTTAGATCCTATAAAAATTACAAAAAAGTTTAATTTTAAAAATATAATAAAGGAAAATAAAACAGAGTATATTAAAAGGAAAACTATTATGAGATTTTTTTTTCAGATGGCAGCTTCAATGTTATAAAAATTCAAATGTTAATAAGAATAACTCTCTGTGGTTCTATATCCCTGCTTTCATGCGATTTTAAATGTACTAAGTTGCCCATTATGTTATCAAACTTCCATAAGCAAGCCCTGGAGTCATGGAAAATTGCTTTCAAACACAACTTCACACCCCACTAATGTATTCCTCGGAATAACGAGCATGTATTTTGGATGAATAAGTCAATGTTTATCAAGTCCTGGATGGATAAATGAATAACTTTTGTATCAGACTTGCTCCTCTCGAGAACTGGCCTGTACACTGGGTAAAGCCGTTTGTAAGGAAGAACACTTAACCGTCATTAGAGATATCTCACATAAATATCTTCATTTAGAGGATTTTTCATGTTTGATAAAGCAGTGTGTACTACACCTCCGTTCATAACAGGTGGATGAAACATACACGAGCGCAATTGCACGAATAAACACATTTACGGATAACGGATAGTATTTGGTCTATTCCTAATTGTTTGCCAGTATAAAAATTAAAAAATATTACATAACATTTACCCATGTAGCAATTTTTAAACAAACTTTTGGATGTTTGACCTCTGGGCTCTTTCCTATTTCATGGAATCAGAATCATTACGTCATTTGTTTCATAAGTGCTCACTGAACGTTTTTGAAAAGATATCTCACTGTTAGTGCCTCCATACAGACGTCCAGAGAGGCCATGAGGTAGTTACGCTGCCAGTAACGCTGTCATATGGTGCTGTAATTAGACACTCCTTGGCGAATATCCTGAGAAAATGTCCTCAGAAATGTTACCAGCATTAAAATAATAATTAGGATATTTGAGAGCCTAAATCTGCTTATCAGGGGCTAAGCAGTAATACTATCCTGAGTCTATACTGAATTAGCCTGAGTGCAGGGGAGTTTGTAGAGCTTTTCAAATCAAGCTGGGTACAGAACGGAAAGATCGATCATATTTCAGTGAGTATCAGATGAAGAACATGTAACTGCAGGGAAACCTGCTTCTTTAGTTCTTCTTTCCTTCTTTGCATCTGCCCTCAGTCTGTACATGGAAATACCAGAGCCGGTTTATGAGGAGCCTGGCCTCTTCCTCGAGTTTAAAAGCTCTTAAAAATATAACAGCAGTGTTAAAATGTTTTATGCTGCTCTGTGTTCAGGATATGATTGTATTATTTTACATTAAAAATGTAATTTGCATTTATAAACTATGATTTTGCTCAAATGCTCCATCTTAACCCATTCATTTTGGATTCACTCAGGAGCGCCCTCTACCACCACACTGAGAAAGCGTGCTGGTTTGCATGGTTTCTAAGGAGACTGCCAGTCTAATGACGTGAATTCAGTGTGCAGCAGCTTTAGCTTACATGTAGCAATATTCGTATTTCAACTCTTTAATGACCTTGTAATTCAGAGATCCAGTGATATTCGGGAGAAGAACATTCATAGGACAAAACGTATCGGGTTCTGAACATTTTTATCTAACGCAGGGGGCGATAGAGGAGATTTTTTGAAAACTCCATTCATTCTGGCCATAGAGAAATGGAGCCTAGACCAGGAGTTCCTAATATGGGCAATGGAGTATGGCGCCCACTACAAAATGACAACACGACTGCAGTGGTCTATACATGTTTGGATGATTTTTAAAAGTGAGAATAAGTTAAACACATCCTCTGCTGGAAACACTCCTAAATTTGGCCTTTTTCTGCCAAACATTGGGCACAATAACTGACATATTGTGGGAAAAACATGAAATCTAAAATAACTTTTGCACCGGCCACATTTTTTTTGCCCCAGTCTATTAAACTGCATAACAGCAGTTGTGCATTACAATGTGTGGAAATGTGTTCTCTGTAGAGGATGTATTCACATTTTCTACACTTAGAAAATCAACAAAACGTGTCATTTGACTGCACAAACGTTTACATACAACAATACATAGTAATAAACAAACAAGCAAACAAATAAAAACAGTGTATTATGATGTATTATAACGTGAATTCTGGTTGAAAACTCAAGCTGGCTTTTCTTTGTGTTTTTCCTTTAAAGTAGAGGTTTGATTGAGCTTGGGTTACAAAAGGGGCCAGTCAACAGATAAACTATAAAACATTCAACAGTAAAGAGGTAAAGTTACTAAAAACACAGTAACAGTAACGGTAAACAACAAAAAAATACACAACAACACAAACAACAACAACAACAACAACAAGCTGGTCAATAAATCTCTCTTTTTTTAAAAAAATGGTTTGATAATTAGATTATATCAGTGAAACAACTTTTGAATGCTGATGGTTTTTTGTTGATATATATATATATATATATATATATATATAAATATATATAGATACATACATACATCATCTAAACCGCTTATCCTTCTGGGTTGCGGTGGGGTGCTGGAGCCTATCCCAGCTGTCATTGGGCGGAAGGCAGGATACACCCTGGACAGGTCGCCAGTCCATCGCAGGGCAGACAGACAGACATACACATTCACACACACACACTCACAGCTAGGGGCAATTTAGCATGTCCAATTGGCCTGACTGCATGTCTTTGGACTGTGGGAGGAAACCCACACAGATATGGAGAGAACAGGCAACATCCGCATAGAAAGAACGGAAAGAACCCAGGCCCTTCTTGTTGTGAGGCGACAGCGCTACCCACTGCGCCACCGTGCTGCTCCTATATATATATAGAGAGAGAGCCAGTCACAACTAAACAATATGCTATAGCTTTTGATGCTATACCACAACAAACGTTACAGCTTCTTAAGGGTTCAGCAGATCCGTGATACGGATGTCATAGGGAAAGGTCTCTTTACTGGGGACACTGATATCCTTAAATATAACTGTACAAACAAGTATATTAGGAAAGTAATACCTGATGAAATAATTCATAAACAAACATAATGGCCTTTTGTATTTGGGAACACAAACTGGAATAAAGCATGTTATAAATATTGTATGGATAATAAAATAAAGGCATTTAAAAAAATTTTGTTTTGGATTGATGTGGAAAACTTTGTAAGAGGAAAGACTGGACACTGTGTTACACTGGATGTTTCAGACAAGCTGGTCAATAAATCTCTCTTTTTTAAAAAAATGGTTTGATAATAATATTACATCAGTGAAACAACTTTTGAATGCTGATGGCTTTTTGTTGATATATATATATATATGCTCTGTGATGGACTGGCGACCTGTCCAGGGTGTATTCTGCCTTCCGCCCAAAGGCAGCTGGGATGGGCACCCCACCGCGACCCAGAAAGATAAGCGGTTTAGATGATATATATATATATATATGTACAGTGAATTTCTCCATAAATTTGGAGAGCCAGTCACAACCAAAGAATATGCTACAGTTTTTGATGCTATACCACAGCAAATGTTACAGCTTCTTAAGGGTTCAGCAAATAGTGATACGTACAAACTGTACAAACAAGTATATTAGGAAAGTAATATCTAATGAAAGAATTCATAAACAACCATAATGGCCTTTTGTGTCTGGGAACACAAATTGGAATAAAGCATGTTATAAATACTGTATGGATACTAAAATATTATGAAGAAAATGTACAGTCACTGTTAAAAGTGTTCTAGAGAGATTTATTTATTTAAACAGTTCTCCATCTGTTTCACCACTGAACTTATACTGCAGTGTAGTGGATTGATGTGGAAAACACTGGACACTGTGTTACACTGGATGTGTCAGATGTTAGTGTTTGTGTTTCGGTGGGCAGATTAGATGATAAAGTACTTCTTTTTGTACAGCACTTCATTATTATGGGTGAATATCATTTACATAAGAAGAGATGGTCTGATTATAAGCCTAACCTGGGCACATTTCCTCCTCGAGCTTAATGAAAATAGCACTTCTTTAAAAAATATAAAACGCAGGAAAGCAGAGGACTTTGGCCTCATATGATGGTTATGACTTGTTTAAGGTGTAACCGCAGCCCGGGCTGCTGTACGTTATGCTACTGTATGGATCCTTTAATTAAAAAAATAATAATAATTAAAAAATAAATAAATAAATAAATAAATAAATAAATGAATAGGCTAGTCAGGTGACACGCCGCGTGACCGGTGGTCACAGATCAGCTGAGCGACGTCAGTTCCTGTGTTGGTGTTGTGATGAGAGTCAGCTGGAGCGGAGAGAGAGACAGAAGAG